ATGTCTATTTTTGGTGTAAAAAGAGGATCGGACGAAAAGATTTGTCCCCGTACTTTTACTCTACAGAACCGTATATTAATTACTGATGTCAGGAGCAACGCAGGAAAAGGGTTTCTTCTTTTCTTTCTTTTTTAACTCAAACAATTGATAGCGGTATGGCTTCTCTTTCCTCTCTGGGATCTAATCTGCAATCTAAATCCATTGGTGAACGGGCATTCGTCGAGAGGTTTCTGAGCACAAGCTGATAGGTTTAGTTAATGATTGGGCCAGCACATACTCGTGCAATGCCAGATCCTCACAATATACGCCCCCCCGCTTTCATCAGGTCTTAGAGCTTTGACTGAACCCCGAGAAAAGTCAGATCCTCATTTCATACTAACCCTCTCTTATCTCAGAAAAAAGTAATTGAGATAATTGACCATAATGCAGATGCCCTCAGGGCACCAGCTTGTCACTGGTAATACCAACTCGTTCAACACTATCAACTTCATTACAGATATAGACGCCGAGGGGCGTCAAATCCTGCAGTGGCTCTCACCACTCGAACCAAAGCAACGGCACCAAGATGTGCGAACCGACAGACTCGATGGCGTGGGAAATTGGGTATTAGAAACCAACGAGTTCGGAAAATGGTGTGACGCGGAAAATGGTTGCCTTGAGCCAGTGTTGTTCTGTTACGGGAATCCGGGGGTGGGGAAAACGTATCTGAGGTAGGATGGTCTCTTGTTCGAAGACAATGCAGAGACCGCTGACGACCGGCGAATAATAGCTCTTTCGTGATTGATAGCCTGTGCGATCGGGCTGCGGAAAAAAGTATTGCCGTCGTTGGACTTTGCTGCGATTTCCTCACCCAGCAAGAGCAGTCCGCCACAAGTATGTTGGGCGCCATCCTCAAGCAACTTGCCAGCAGAGGAGGAATACCGGAGCATATACGAAAAGCTTTTCAGAGGGCCAGGAAAGAGTTTGGAGGCCGAGGTCTCCGGCTCCCTGATCTGGTACAAATTCTGAAGAAGACTATTGCATCTCTGCCGCGGGTATTTATATAATATGTATCGATGCTCCAGACGAATCCGCTCCTAAACACCGACGTGAGCTCCTTGGATCACTACAAGAAATCGCTCGGGTGTCACCAGACACACGGATATTCCTTACCGGGAGGCCCCATATCCAGGACGAAATCGTGAAATGGTTTCGCGGGGCAGTTAGGATACCTGTCAGTCCTACACAGGACGATATTAAGAGTTATCTAGAGACGAAGCTAGACGGTGACACTGATCCTAATGCAATGGATGACGAGTTACGAGAGGATATTATGAGAGTCATCCCAGAGAAGATCTCGGAAATGTAGGCAAGAATATCAAGCACATTCCCAATACGAGTCTGAGTTATTACTCACTAAAGGTGATCTATAGTTTCCTCCTCGTCTCTCTAAACATTGATGCGATCCTAAGGGAGACTACTCTCTATCGCAGAAGAAAAAAGCTGGACGAGATGACCAAAGGGGAGGGTTTGGGCAACGCTTATGCGGCAACCCTATCACGAGTGAAGGCACAGCAAGGGGGCAGATCAAAACTCGGAATGGACGTTCTAATGTGGGTATCGCATTCAGAGCGGCCATTATGTCTCAACGAGTTATGTCATGCGCTGGGCGTAGAGGAAGGTTCCACCGACTTGAATATCCGGAATATCCCCGCCATGGAGACGCTATTAGCATGTTCTCTAGGACTCATCACGGTCGAGAAGTCCTCGTCAACCGTCCGCCTTGTTCACTACACCCTGCAAGAGTACCTCTTCCAGAACCCCAACTTGTTCCTCATGCCCCACTCCATGATTGCGGGGGTCTGTTTGACCTACCTCAACTTTCCCCACGTCAGGAGCCTTTCACCCGCTCTTCGTTCTGCCCCATCAACCGCTCCTCTTGCAGAATATGCTTCTTGTTATTGGGGTACACATGCTAGACGGGAAACCACAGAAAGTGTGAAAGCTCTTGCATTGAAACTGCTTGATGGATACGATAAGCACATATCTTCGAAGATGCTGTTATTGCATAAGATGTCTTGGGGCCAACCCTTTGACCAGGAAGACGCCCCTGCGGGGTTTACAGGTCTTCACGGCGCCGCATGCTTCGGGTGCGCAGAGATAACGGCCGCATTTCTGGAGATGAATAAATGGGATGCTCACGCAACCGATTTCCATGGTAATACAGCGATCGCTTGGGCTGCTAGGATGGGGAATGAGGAGGTCGTGAGGATACTGATGGAACGGGGTGACGCCAATCCGAACACCGCTGACACCCTATACGGCCGAACCCCGCTCTGGTGGGCCGTCAAGAATAGGCATGCGGGAGTCGTGAGGATACTGCTGGAATGGAGCAACGTTAATCCCAACACAGCGGACACCAAACATGGCCGAACTCCGCTTTCTTGGGCTGCTGGGGATGGGCATGAGGGGGTTGTGGGGATGTTGCTGGAGCGGAATGACGTCAATCCTGACACGCCCGACACCCAATTTGGCCAAACACCGCTCTCATGGGCTGCGGAGAACCGGCACGAAGGGGTTGTGAGGATACTGCTGGAATGGAACAACGTCAATCCCGACTCAGCTGACACCCTGTATGGCCGAACACCGCTCTCATGGGCCGCCGAGAACGGACATGAGGGTGTGGTGAGGATATTGCTGGAACGGAGAGATATCGATATTAACACAGCTAACTCTAAATATGGCCGAACGCCGCTCTCATGGGCTGCCGAGATTGAGC